CTTTTTAGGACATTTCAGCGAGATAATTCGGTGATTTGCCAAACCATGTGACGAGTCTCCAAATGGCTAGTTTCCTCGCCAAATTTCATAGCTTGGATATGTTTTAGTAAAATGACCATAATTATTTACCCCTAAATTCTGATTGATGCAAACTTTGTGCATTGGAAAGAGGAATTATATACCTGTAATTTTAAATGTGGTGGGCCTTCTAATTCAGTATATGTGACCTTTATATGAATTTATGTAAGAACATAGCCGATAGGAATGCTTTGATCTTGGCTTTGTGTTTGAGGTCCCTTATAACCCTATATCACTTCTAATACCGTTGATACACTTGGTAAAGGACCTTCATATACAGGACCAAGTATGGCATCACCAAATTCATTCTCATATACTTATGACAAAAGATTAAGATTTTAAGAGTAGAATTGTGTGGTGTTACAGAACTATTTGGGTCTTAGCTTAGAAATTTTTGGGGTATTACAGTATGATGCAACTGCGATTAAATTTCGTGGGGTGAAAGTAAAGATGAATTTTATGATTCCAGAGCTACCAGTAAATTGGCCTCCAAATCAGAATAGTACTGTTGAGTTATAGAATATAGTGGTGGCGGTGAAGGTAATTGAATCACCACCGACGTTTGATCAAGGCCTCAGAAGCATCAAGATCTCATCCGTTCGATTGGTATGCTTACAAATGGGGTAGGTAATTTTTTTTAAAAAAAATACTCAATTTCATCTTTCTCCAATTGCTGGAGGTTTTAGCAAATGTGAATTCATGGAATCACTTGTGCTTTCGGATTTTTTTCAATGATATGAAATGAATCATTGCGAAACAAATTGTCGTAAGGACATGTCGACGTTCATCGATCGAAATGATGATGTTGTTCCTCTCACGACAAGTTGAATTCTTTCTTAATGATTGATTGTATGGATGATGATAAGCTCATTGAGATTAACCTTCATTTTCTAGTGGCATCGGTGAAAACAAGAAAACTGTCAGATTAGTGAGTGTCCATCGGTTTGGAACCGTCCTTTATTAATTAGTTGTTATCTCATTTAATTAATATAATCACCCTTATTATATCTGGTACTTAGGAGTAGAGTTAAAGGGAAAATAAGAGAAGTAGCTTTAGTGTAATACATTGTGGAAGAACGACGACCATATGTTTATCGAAGAATGTTCACCATCTTATATTAATGTTGGAAAAAATGGTGTCTTTATGAATTATGATTCACACTTGAAATTTGTTACAAATTTAATGAAGTTGAGATAAAAAAATTAATATTTTGATCAATTTAGTGCTACATTCAATTTTAATTCTGTAAATTACCTATGCTTTATATTTTGAACACATTTTTTTTTTTTGAATCTTACATGAACTCAAAATGATTAGCTGGTTGAGAACTGACGCAGGAGGAAGGGACAGTGGTAGTGGTAGGTTGAACTTATTATTCGTATAATTTTAATGAACTACATGTACAATATAGTTATGCAACATTATAAGCTTGAGTAGCTGACGAAGAAGGAAGTGTGAGTGGCGATGATAACAGAAGGAAAAGCACTGATTATGTGGCACCTGTGGGTTAACAATAATATTTAATATGTATAATTTCACATTTAATGAAAGAACAAAAAAGTTTTACTGTAAAAGCAAAATGAATATTGTAATTTTTTTTACTATTATGGACCTTGTTGCAATGTAGAGTATCCTTTCTCTAATTTATTCCACCTGGTGTGGTTTACATCTAAGTTAGAGCGTGTTTGTATTAAGCTATGATAAAAGACATAAAGTCGCACCTCAAGTTTTTCCAAATTTTTAAAAAGACATCTTTATTATGTCGGAGTCTTGTTGCCTCCTTAACAATTCTGAACTGATATTATTACATAATTTTTTGTCCACTTGACATTAAGAGTGTATGCCCTCTCTTAAAGAGTGTGAGCAGCCTAAAATAATGAATATAATTTTATTTTTACATGTATTTTTTTTGTAATCTTTTTTGTTATTCTTATTATTTATTTTTTGTTTTTGTTTTTTCGTTCTTCAAAAACTTATAGTAATCTTTGTTAAAGCTCATCACTTTCAATGTCAAAATTTATACCACAGTTGTACCCTCCTTCTTTTACTACTATTAATTTATTTGTTTTAACTTTTAAGACTCAATCTATATTTTTTTATATTTCGAACAATTTGATAAAACAATTAAATTTTAAAATAATTAGCATGTTTCATTTAGCATATTTTTTTTCAAATTTCAATAAAGGACATTCAATTTTTGGGAAATTCATTGATTCATTAATAATTATCATTTCTAATTTGAAGTTATATGAAAATGAGATAAATTAATTGATTATTCCTACAAAATTTTGAATTTTCTTACAAAAACAATTATATTTGTTATCAATAACTCAACAAAGTCTAGAAAATAGCATGATTTTTTCAAAAAAAAATCATTGAGAAAAAAGGAAGTTCGTTGATGAAAAGGAGAAAAAAAATAGGGGGGGGGGGGGGGGGGGGAGGACTCAACTTGAACATGGGGGATGTTGTGAAGGTTAGGGGTGAAGAAGACAAAAAGAAAGATAGGGGACGTGGTCAGCTTGAATGTGTGGGTGGGGGTTGGAGAGTGGAATTTATGTTTAATTCAAAATTAAAGTAAACAAAGAAAATAAGTCAAAAAGTAAGAGAAAGAGAAAATAGGATAAAGAAAAACTTAAAACGTTTTTAAAAAATAATCAAATTAACATGTGTCACGTAATAATTGGTGCGTGATAATACTTACTTTATAAAATCTTGGAGTGGTCGAAAAAAGATGTAATATTATCAGTTCAAAACCATTTAGGGGGTAATATTACACTCACATAGTTAAGGTGCATTTTTAAAAATTCGAGACAACTTCAAGTGTTACTTTATGTCTATTCTCTTTATGTTATTAAAACAAACGACGAGGCTCACACGTACCCCCTTATCTATTTTAAAAGGAATTTAAATATCCTTCTTCTATTCTTTAGGTTAAAAGTATCTTAATTAATTTATTTTTTGCTCTGGAATACTCTTAACCTATATAAAATGACTCAAAATTACCCTTCATCCTCCTTTTGGTCTAAACATACCCTAATCGTTTATTTTTGGTTCAAGAATACCTCCTTCCACTTTTTAGTCTAAAAATAGCATCAACCTTTGTTATCTATTTATCTTCATATAACTAATATTTATTATGATAATATCGATCGATCTTTTACCATGTAAAAATATGTGGTTTTTTGTTATTTGAAGTAAATGATTTTTTGTTCTTTTTTACATTAAATGTTTTGTGGTCAAATTTTTAGTTAAAAGTAATCATGTAAATAAAATCACTAAACCAATTGTTATATTTTCATTCAAAACTCAAGGCAAGGCTTCAAATATTTTTAAGAACAACAGATTGTATAAAAAAAATACATTTAATTTCTCTTGAGTTCATCTAATGTTTCATAGCTCTTATACCAACGATATGTTATGTATAATTCTATAAATAAGGTACAGAAAGGGTAGTGCGTAAGAAGATTTTACCTCTATTTTGGAGAAAGAAAGATGTAATTTTCAATATACTCTCGACTCAGGTAAGAATAAATTGGATAGAGAAAATAATGACAGACATGAAGTCAAGATAAAATACTAAAAAAAGCATGACAAAGCATACTAAGAAAACTAATTAATATGATTGTTGAAGTGCAAGAAATATTAAATAGTAACAAAAAGGAATAATTAGAAATTGCCAAATGAAAATTAGTACTACTAATATGAATAAAAAAACAAGACAACTCTCAATCATCTAACTAACTTTCTATTCTAATCCATATCCTCAATGACCTTTTATTAAGTCAGGTCCTTAGACAGCTAGAAAGTGGATCATGTCCTACATCTACCTATCACATATTCATCCAAGTCTATCACACCTCCACAATCTTGACATCTCTTCTTCTTCAGAGGTTTTGATAATCTGAAGTCTTCAATTCATGAACATGGGAGTTCTTTACAGACCAATATTTCTCTCTATATTCAACATAATTGGTCGAAGTGTACTTCTTTTTAGAAGTTGTCATTAGATTTTTATGACATATTCTTATCATAAAAAAAATCATGTTATGAGCGTCAGTACGATGTCTGACATTCTCATTGAGTTTATCATTACTTTGATAATAGACATAACATATGTGAAGCTCCTTTTTTTATTTTATAGATGATTTGTATATCAAATATCACCTCCATATAATATCCATGCATTACTTCATTGAATTTGCACTATATGTATAATGTATTTGTCTTACTTAACACGAGTCCTTTGAATTTCAGTGTTTGTAGCCAAAATCTAACTTTGCTGAAAATCTCATCAATCAGAACTGTGACACGATCTACAAATAACTTACATAATACACCATGAAATCTCTCCTTGTATTCATTAAGTAAATTCGTCAATCAACGTTCACCAAATACAAGTAAAAATGAGCTATAAATTGATCTTTGTTACAGTCTTATCAACAATGAAAAGTATTACGGGGCTCTATCTGTTATCCGTACCTGACTATTAACTTTGTTGTACATGTATCTATATGACCCTAGTATTAAACAATAATGCAAAATATAATTCCAACAATTAGATCTTTTCATAATATATAATTTATATTCCTAATTGTAATTTATCAAAATGTGTTTAAAAACCAAAAAGACCAATACTAAAATTTATAAAATATTTCTGATACTAATATGGGATATAAAATGTTTTCTAGGAAAAAAATGTTGTGTAACATGTGTCCCCCACAATTCCATGAGTTAAGTCAAACACTATATTAATTGTGTTTTATTTTCTTCCTTTACCACTTGGCTATATAGGAAGCTCTTCCCCCTACTTTTTCTATCAACCTAATCACTTGTTCAAATATCTTTGTTATGTATTTTTATACATAGAAACAGATAAATAGCCCCAAAGAGAAAATGTATGGCGACGGTGAAGACATCAGAGATGGCGGTGAATGTGGCTGGAGGTGTTGATAAGGAGGTGCATTATCAAGGCGTTCGGAAGAGGCATTGGGGTAGATACACCGAGGAGATCAGAGATCCGTCGAAAAAAATATGTGTTTGGCTAGGTACGTTTTATACGACTGCGGAGGCAGTAGAAGCATATGATACGGCTGCTATTAAATTTCCTGGAAAGAATGCGAAAACAGATTTTTTGATTCCGGTGCCGCCAATGAATTCACCTCCAAGTCGAAAGAGTACCGTTGATTCTCCAAATGGGGCGATGGCGGTGATGCCTGTTGAATCACCGCCGTAAGTGGATCTAAGCTTTCGAGGTAGTCACACATCCTCCTCCATTGGTGTTTTTACCAATGGTGTAGGTAAGGTTTTATTTCCAAATCTTCAATTTCAGCTTTCTCCGAATGTTGCAGGTGTTCCGCCACTGAATCAGTGTTGCTTTTTAGATTGTTTTCAATGAGATGAGATGATTCATCATGAAAATGACTACCGTAAGGATATGTCTATGCTCATTCGCGGAGGTGGTGATGGTGGTGTTGTTATTCCTAGCACCCATTTTCGTCTATGATTGATTTTATGGATACTTCTAAGAATAGGCGCATTGAGTTCGATCTGAATTATCCACTGGCACCGGAGAATATGTGAAAATTCATGCTCTGATGATCTAAGATTTTGCATGTTCATGGAACAGTCCTTTTTTAATTAATAAGTTGTAATGTTGTAAAATTAATCTAACCACCCTTTCAATTTTCAATAATTAGGATAGAGTTAAGAGGTAAAAAAAGGAGGTCAGATAAACAATAGTAGTCTGATATATGGGGGAAGAACGATGACAATTTTCTCATCGATGTTTGTTCATCGTCTTATTTTAATGTTGATAAAAATCTTATCTTCATAGATTATGACTTCAGACTTCTATTTATTGCAATTATAAGGATTTTTTTTTGTAGAAATTTAATATTTTGATCAATATAGTATTACATTCACTTGTTATATCTTTTGAACATGTTTTTTTTTTCGAATGTTAAGTGAACTGAGAATGATTAGCTGATTGGGAATCGAAAAAGAAAGCAATGACAATGGCGCTACAGGCTGAACTTATTTATGTTATAATTTTAATGAACTCTTTGCAATGCATTCAGTAGCATTGAAGTACATTAGCTTACGAGTTTTTCTAATCTTAAGTGAATGTGAATGCAAAATAATAAGTTGAGTAACTGACGAAAAAGGAAATAAAAGTGGCAATGAGGACAACAAGAAAAAATAAACAGTTTATTTAGCACGTATAATAGTAATTAATATGGATAATTGCATATTAACTGAGAGAAAAGATTACCTTTGACTGGCAAAGAAAAATAAATGAGGGCAACAAGAAAAAATAAACAGATGATTTGGATAATTGCATATTTACTCAGAGAAAAGATTATCTTTGACTGGCAAAGAAAAATTAATAATCTTTTTCACAATAATGGACCTTGTTTCCACGTCGACCGATAGTGAAAATAATAATAATTTTGTTTACTATTATGGACCTTGTTACCACGTCGTGTATCCCTTGACTAATTTTATCCACCTGCTTTGTTTTACATCTAAGTTAAGAACATGTTTAAATTAAGTTATTAAAAGGTGGTTTGCTCTCATTGATAAGGAAAACTAATTTTGGGATATGTTTTTAGTACCCATCAATTCCTTGTTTTGATATAAAATGTGGGATAATATATCCCAGGATTAATAATTATGTCTGGGATAAGTTCTCCCTAGTTGTGGGTATAAAACTGAATTTGAGATTAAAAAAAAACTAAAATAACAAAACTACCGCCCTTAAACCATCTTTTGTACATCAATTATACTTATATATATATTCAAATAATAGCATGGTTTTGTTTGGAAATCGGATTGAAATGAAAAATATTATGGGATTCATATTACTCCATTCGTTTAAAAAAAAGGGACTTACTTTTCTTTTTAGTTTGTTTAAAAAAAAGGACTCATTTTTGTCGTTTCACAACAATCTAATTTAAGTTTTTCAGGCGACATGTTTAAGACCAGAAGATTAAAGGACATTTTGATATATTTGGCATAATTTAATTTAAAACTTCAAGATTGAAAAATCTTTTTTTATTTTTTCTAACTCCTTGTCAAGTCAAACTAAATCTTTTTTTTAAAAAAAGAGCCATACAAAATATTTTAGTAAAAATAATATGCGAGAACAATATATTATAAAACAATCATCTTATGAGTAGAAAATTCTTGTGGAGCTATCTAGGTGAAATTACCAGGTAATGTTGCTAGTAAGGAAGTGGTTGTAATGAAAATTTTATGAGATACATATAAAAAGGAAGTGATACTTTTATATTTTAAAATTTGAATAACATTTTGTACTATTTTCATAATTAGCATATCTGCATGTTTGGGGAACTATCAGAACAATTCTGAATTCTGCATGAATCTCACAAATTCATAACGTTTTGTACTCAGAACTAATGTTATTATACGTGAATTGGACTTGAATAAATTGTGATCATTTCACTTTATCATCTTTTACATTCTATTTTTATTAAAAGGAACTAATATAATTTTCTAGTTTCCCTTATGGAATACTGTGAATACATTGATTTATACAGTCCGCTTAAATGAAGAAACATAAATAGAATGTACTATAACTAATAAGAAGCCAACAAAAATCTTAAACCTTTTCATCGCAGGTAACATATAATGTAATCTACAAAAATAAACCAAAGTCGATCAGATCTAAAACTTACTAAGAACTATTTTAAGCAACTATTGTCCATTAGATGTTGAAACCTTGACTTCTAATGAGGATTGGCCTCCTATAGTAAATGTCTTAAGAGGTGTATTGTCGTTCTTTTCTTTAAGTGGGCATGAGAACTATTATTTGCATCTAGTATGTTTAAGTAAGCAATTTTGAAAAATATATTAGAAAGTATGTGATTCATATGTACAGGTTAGAGGTTTTGAAACTAACTCTAGAGTCTATGGGTTCAAGTGTAGGAGGATCAAAGATAGTATTTGAAGTGAAAATTATGTTTTGAGTTGGATGAAGCAGACGTATAAGTGCGGATTAGAACACGAACTATTTCCAAGAGAGAATGTTTTATGTATATTGGGTCCGTACTCTAGGATAGTAGGGACTAGGGTTGGGCATAAATACCGAAAAACCAAAAAATCGAACCGAACTGAAAAAAATCAGTTCTTCGGTGTTTCGGTTCGGTGTCGGTTTTTTTTTCGGAACTTCGGTTCTTCGGTTTGGAGTTCGGTGTAAGGTTCCTGAAACTACGGTGCACCGAAGAACCAAAGTTTTATTAAATAAATTTAAAAGTACTTATTATATTACTTAATTTTTAACTTTACTTGGCCCATTTCAATTTTTATATTTAGATCCTTAACTTAAATAGCAAAAATCTTAATAACAAAATAGTAAACCCTAAAGACCTAAAGTCTAAACTAAACAAAACTCAATTTAATTCAAGTTTGAGCAGCAACTTGGTGTTTCTACTTTCTACTTTATGATTTTATCATTTTATGTTGTTACTTTGAAGTGAGAACAACAAATTGATGCTCTTACCTTTTATTGTTAGATGGTTAGTTGTTACTTTGAAGTTTGAAGTGTGAATTGAATAACAATTGTTACTTTAACATATTCTCTTTTTATTTTTGTTGACGCCGAAAAACCGATTTAAAAACACCGAACTAAACCGAATCGAAGTAGAAAAAACCGAACTGAACCGATCTAGTTTGGTTTGAAATATGGTGCACACTTTTCTAAAACCGAATACCGAAAAACTGAACTGAAATTTGATTAAACCGAACCGAAGAACCGAACGTCCACCCCTAGTAGGGACATTGATGATGATGTCACAAGTCGCATTGCGTCGGCATAGATGAAATGGAGGCTTGCTTGTGGATCATGGAGTCTTGTGTGAGAAGTAGGTATTTAAATATGTACCTAAGAACCCAAGATATATTATATCTATAGTACATCATAAATAATATTAAAGAAATAACAAGATTAAAACCTCTAGCAAAAGAATATTATAATAAAATCCTTACTGAAAATTAATATAAGAAGGATGAAGTCCGCACCTACGAAAAATGGTATCAGAGCTATGGATGAAGAGAAATAGAAGAATCATACTAGTAGAAAGTTAAGAAAAATAAAAAGAAAATTAAACAAATTATATCCAGAATATAAACAACTCAATATCACAAAAACTGATAACGACAAATTAGATCAATTAATAGATAATATATCTAAAATAGAATATAAATATATTCAATATTTAAAGATACAACGAATAACGAGAGTAACGAATATAGACAAAAACTTACTGAAATAATTATAGCAAAAAGACAAGAATTGAGACATAGGCAAAATAGACTTAACAGTAATATATTTGCAGGAATTTGTGAAAAATCAATAGTAACACAAAGAAAAACTATTTTATACCTACAGATACAAATAGAAAACTTAGAATATAAACTACAACACAATTTATAAATGAATAAAGAAGAATATGCAATAGATGAAAAAACATATGAAAACTATGACGGATTAAAAATAAAGATAATAATTTCTAATCTAGGAAGAAGATATAAGAAAATAGGTGACAATCTAAGTTTAATGTTAGAAAAAGAAACGGTAAAACTAGAAGATAGTTTAGCTGCTATGATAAGAATAACAAAAGAAAATGAAGAAATAGATAGAAAAACGAAAATTGAAAAAATAAAACTACAAGCAAAAAAGGAAGTACCACAATTAGAAGAAGTAAAAAATACTAAAATAATAGAACTAGAAAAAGAGCTGGCAATATTGAAAAAATGTATGAAATTAAACAAAAAGAAAAAGAACAAAAAACAAAATTAGCAAATGAGAGAAATAGATTTAAAGAAAAATTGCAATTAGAAGAAGAACTAGAAGGAAAAGAAGAAAATAACCAAGATAGTCTACCTGAAATAAGAATTGATGAAATAAACAACGATGATCTAGATGAACAACATTCAGAAACAAGCGAAACATATACGGAACTTTTAGCAAACATGGATAATACAAAGAATTTAGAAGTAAATACATGAGACGTAGACCTGGATGAAAAATCTAGTACATCAGGAATAAAAAACCCAAAAAATTTAAAATATTATAATGCAAACTATGAACAATATGATAAAGAAAAATCTATATGGGATAAAAGATTGAATAAAAAATGGACACCTAAACCAATAATTGAACAACATAATTTTTTAGATTTAGACTGTGTAACAGATATAAATAAAACAATCCAATTATGGATGGGATATATATCAAAACAATTAATAGATAACAAAATAGGAATGACAGAAAGACCAGGATATATAGAAAGAACACTTATAGGAACAGTAAAATTATGGCTACAAAATTTATCAGAGGAAAGTTTAAAAACTTTAAGAAGTAATAAAAAATTTGATGG